AGCAGAATGTGATAAAAGGTAAAGTGAAAGAAGCTGCCATTCTAGGTGGAGAAACAGCACACAGTGAACCTAAGCACCCGAAGCATAGAACTAGAATCCCTTTTTGGACCCAAGTCAAGATGGCACTGATAGGCAGCATGTTGCTCTGGACAACCTTCCAGTAAAGGGAAGCAAAATAAAAACTGGGCAGGGCAGGGAGCTTGGCTGTCACCTACAGAGCACCACTTCAAAAGGCCCACAGTACAATCTCCACGTCTCCCTTTCCCATCCAGATGATGAAAGAACTACATGAGAAAACTGTGACGACCTTGGTGAACTTCAGCCCCATGCTAAGAAGGACAAATGAAGGTTCTTCCACGAATCAAACAGGATGTGGTAGAAGCTAAAGTGAAAGAAGCTGCCATTCTAGGTGGAGAAACAGCACACAGTAGGAGCAACCTTCTGCAGAAAAGCAGCTGTGGCAGAGAGCAAACGTCAAGACTTTTAAGTTTCCAAGGTTCTTTCTCAACACGACATCCCTTAATCTGTTTGAAGACGTTCCCTTGGTTAAAGCAATAGCAATGGTTGGCTTCAAGTAGATCTTGCACACATGCACCCCACCAAGGAGGGAAACAATGGGTGTTTGCCCAACCTTTCTTTGCTTTGATAACTTCCAGACAAAACAAGAAGACCCTGCAAACAAACACCCCCTCCAGCTGTGCTCTTTGGCGTCCTGCTGGTTTTCCCCTTTCATCATAGCATCAAGTCTAAAGCTCGGCATCTGCATCTGAACAGAGCCTGCCACTGATGAGGAAGGCCAATGGATGGCTCCCTTTACGCACATCATTTACATAAACAGCCTCCTACAGGGGCACATGTTGAACTACAGCATCCCGTTTTGCAACATGCATGGCATGTATGGCTGTGTGTGTGGGTGTAGGTGGGTGCACAGGTGTTTCTGTACTTAATGTGCATAACGGGAGCCATCCTTTTCAGGGAGAATCACTAATTAGAACTCACTTCTTCAAACGGAAGACTGCTCCTTAGTCAGCCTGAGACATTTTGCTGCCTGCAGGAAATGAGAAAATGGCACTCCTTCCCGTGACCAGGCTGCCAGTTGGATCATACTTCAGCTCTGGTGGTCTGTGTTAATCCTGAGTACAACAGGGTGCCGAGGGGGTTCAGGGAGGCTGTGCAGGTCACACGTTGCTCAGTCCTCAACTACCTTGTGGCTACTCCCCAGCCTCCAGGATCTACAGCCTATGGTAGCCACATCATTCTGATGGACTGTAGGGCCAGCCCCCTGCACAATAGGGCCAAACTTTGGTTTCATTGTATATTCCACAGGATACAGTATGTCTACCTAGGTTGGGGTGTCCAAACAGGTTTCTCCTTTTAAAGCATCTGTGCTAATATCATGGGATTGTTTTTAAGCAAATCAGGGGCATAAGAATGGAAGAAAAGCCATGCTGGATCCACGTAGCCCAGTAAGGTGTACACACTGTGGTGAACCAGTTGCCCAGAACATCCTTCAAGCAGGCTGAGCACAAGACCTCCCAAGCTGCTCAGAAATGGCTGAATTCTGGTGCTGAATTCTGAATTCTGGTGCTGAATTCTGAATTCTGGCATGCTGCTTCTGGTGAAGGAGGTAGCACTCAGCCAGCAAAGCTCATAGCCACTGATAGCTTTTGTCTCCATGAATCCATAGTGGCTAGATATATGGAGTTCCTTTTCAGTCATGTTTTGAAGAGGGATGTCTCCATGGTTGTCTATGGGCCAGATTCAAGCCCCAACTAACATAATGTTCCTTCAGACATGGTTTGTGCATGCGCTCAAATGGACATGGTACATATGAATCTCTCTCTATATATATATATTATATATTGTTTACTGTATATATTGAGGAGGGACATGATATCCCTTTATAAGTACCTCAAAGACTATCACAAAGAGGATCTCTTCCTGCTGATACCAGAGTGTAGGACATGACAACCCAGATTCAGACTAGATATCAGGAAAGGATTCCTCACTGTGAGAGCAATACAACAGTGGAACCAGATGCCTGGCTCTCCCTCACTAGAGACAGTCAAAAAGAAACTGGACAGCCATCTGAATGGAATGATGTAAATTGATGTCCTGCAACAGAAAGGGGTTGGACCCGATGGCCTTCATGGCCCCTTCCAACTCTATGATCCTGTGATCCTCTGATTCTAGAGTCAAAATAAGAGTAAATTGTGCCACATTTTTCTATCATTTTATGCTGGCTGCAGCTCTTGGAAGTTGTGGTCCAACAGATCTAGAAATGACTAGGTTGAGGAAGGCTGGCGTAGGATTATAATAGCTATGTGTTATTGTGCACATAAAATATTTTGTACATGCAAAAGCTGGCTATGCTATTTTTAAAAAGGTGCCAATATTTTAAAGTTTCACAATTCAACATTTCCACTGGATTGTTTACTTAGTGTCACATATCATCCTTCTGTGATGCTTTATGGCCATATTGGTGATCATCGTTAGAGTGTTTTACAATCTGTTGCAAATAACTGAAGAATGGAAAGGAGGGAAATCCAACCTCATCTTTTGAGGACTCTGCTGGAAGGTAAATGCAACTCTGCTGTTGTGTGTCACTGTGAGCAGAACCACATGACCTTATTATAAGGCTTATGGAATATAAGGTTGTCCATGCATCTGTAGGCCAAAGATTCGGGTAGATCTGTACTGAAGCAGCACAGTTTCACATTTCTGTTAATTCTTCTGTCTGTTCAAAGGATCCTGTAATTGAGGTACATAAACTCTGGCAGAGCTTTCATTATTTTCATATGCAATGACAAGCAATATGCAATTGCAATAGGAAGAAGGTATTGTTCTCCCTTGATGGTAGGGATAGCCAGTTCTCTGGGGCTCAAAAAAGGGGATAAAATTTATTTATTAATTGTATACAGATTGAGATTTAGGCAAAAAACTGACACGAGAGGGCTCCCTTTGGCCTATAGCCTCATGCTGCCCAAATGTTTTGGGCTATGACTCCCATTATCTCTGAGCATTAGCCATGCCGGCAAGGCTGATAGGAACTGCAGTGCAAAATATCTGGAGCCTAAGTGAGGCTGCTACAGAAAAGTGATGGAAGTACTTGTGTTCTTGTGCTCTCCACTCTTACCTGCTAGTGCATGCCATTGAACTTAATGAGATGTAAAATATGCATAAGATTAAGAATGGATTCGGATTGCTCTCTTGGCTGCACCATGATCACAGAGTCAACAATGCTTTTTCCATGCTTTCTTCTAATTTTGTTCCAAGAACCAATAGTGGTAGGACCACACAGAGTGGAACACATGAAACGATTCCTCACCAGAAAAGTGTGGTTGTCCTTGTGTACCATTTGCTCCATTTCTCCTCTGGTTCCCCCGTCTAGATCAGAGGTGACAAAGGTTTTCAGTCCAAGGGCTGCATTCAGTTTTGGAGAAGCTCTCAGGGGTGGGCAGGCTGAAGAAAAAGGGTCAGAGTCAGATTTTAGCTGAAAGTGTTTACTGCAAGGAGCTAAGCCTTCAAGAAGCATTTCAGCCTTTTATATGGGGATAAATGTACACAGATGCCATGAAAACACCAAATCATCAGCAGTTGAAAGAGGGAAAGAGCAGAGCTATCTGGAAAATTTTGGGGGTTTGGATCTGGCCAACACTTGATTATTGGTTGGCATGTCTCACAAACCTAGCAAGGATTACCCTCTAGTGTTAGTTCTTTTGAAACAACCCACAATGAGAACTTGTGAACTGTTCTAGAGTTGTTGTTGTTGTTTTGTCATCCTAACCCAACCCAACAAGCTGCAAGGATTAAATCAAACATTTTTAAAAGTACAAAATTAGACAGAAGGTTCGGAAACTGGTCTAACATCCTGCAGCTAGTCATCTGAATAAGGCAAGGCCCTCATTACAACTGTTAAATTGGCTATTGGTCTGTTTCAATGCACTATTCAAAGTGCTGGTTATGACTTATAAAGCCCTAAATGATTGGGACCAGGCTACCTAAAAGACCACTACCTATCAGTCTGTCCAAGTTTTCAGATCTACAGGGCAAGTCCTTTCAGTCTTCTTGCCACCAGAGTTATTTTTAAATATTATTATTACATTTATCACTCAATGATTATTGTCAACTACCCAGAGGCCTTTCTCAGTGGTTGCCCCTAAACTATGGAATGGCTGCTAGGAGAAATGCCTCTGATTTCCCAGATTGCTACCTTCTAGAGGAAGTTAAAGACATATCTCTTCCGACAGGATTTCCCAGATTAGTTCTTATATTTATTTAATATTTTATTATATTTTATTCAGATTTTAATCATTGTTGATTTTGGACACAATAATTAAAATGGTGTCATTGTTGATTTTTGAAACAATGATTTTGGAATTGTGGTGCTGGAGAAGACTCCTGACAGTCCCTTGGACCGCAAGGTGATCAAACCAGTCAGTCCTAGAGGAGATCAACCCTGACTGCTCCTTAGAAGGCCAGATACTGAAGATGAAACTCAAATCCTTTGGCCACCTAATGAGAAGGAAGGACTTCCTGGAGAAGAGCCTAATGCTGGGAACAACTGAGGGCAAAAGAAGAAGGGGACAGCAGAGAATGAGGTGGCTGGATGGGGTCACTAGGGAGGTGTGTGTGGGGTTGAGTGGACTCTGAAATAAAAATCAAAATAAAATAAGTAAAATTAAAAATACATGGATCTGTATGAAGCCATCAGTCCTTACTAGTAATGCCAGTAAAGCCTGGCAGCTGCAATCTCAACATATTTTGGTGATCCTGTATAAACCAGAAGAAAAGAGAATATCCTGGTCAAACAAGTCTGTGCAGCTTCTTCCCCCACCCCTTTCTTTTGCTGGTTTAGCTTTAGCAGGATGGGACAGAACTGAGTAAATGGCCTGAATGTGTTGACACAACAAGAGAAGAAACAAAGGCCTTGTGGCAGCATAAAGCCATCTTCCTCCTTCCTGGTCTCTGAAATGACTTGCTGAATTCCAGGAGGCAAGATGACTAGCCAGTCGCAGGGAATTCAGCAGCTTCTGCAGGCAGAGAAACGTGCCAAGGACAAGCTTGAGGAGGCCAAAAAAAGTAAGTTGCGACGTGGGTGAATTATTTTTCTTCATTGAATGCTCATTAGAAAAGCTTCCACTTGCTTCCAGTTCCCAGAGGAAGCACTGCTTTCCCATTGGGCAAGGGCTGAGCACCACCTGTGCAGCAGAAGCAGCAGTTGACCCTACTTGGAGACTGCCTGACGTATCTTAACATCAGATTCTGTTAATCATTTAACAGAAAGCCGTGCTTGGTCCCTGAGTGAGCATGTCAGGTAGCAAAGAATGGCTCAGGAAACCCCCCTCCACGGCTGGGGATGGTGCACCAAGTTCAGAAGAGGGAATGAAAGCTGACCCCATCCCTCTGAAGCTGGTGCAGGGAGAAAATTGGTCTGAAATTCGACCTCTGAGAGGTGAGAAAGAGGCCATTATGATGGGCTATGATTTATGATGCAGCTTGAGCCACCTTCCTCCTCCCCAGAAAGGGCCCTCACAAGATGGGCTGAAGAGCCCAACTAACAAAAATATAGGACCTTGAAGGATAGAGAGACCAAGATGGCTTCCACCACTCTTCTGGTCCTGCTGACTTCAGTTCAGCAGAGCATGGGATGCCTCTAAGTTCAGAGCTTTCCAAGCAGTGAATGTGGAGTCCATACCGTTGTGCTCTAAATTGTTGGCTTCATCACTACAGTGGAATTTGTCTACCTATCATGCTATTTCTTCAAATTACCCCCAAGATCCTATTCCAGCATTTGGATTATAGGTCGTACAGTTCCAACATTCCATAACTCACTCACTCCTTCCCTCCTTCCCATGATATCTCAAAAGGTATCTTGTGCACTCATACTCTATGCCAGAAATAGCCACCTGGCATTCTCCAGATGATTTGGATTACAATGCTTATGAGACCCAGCCAGCATGTCCAAGGATCAGGAATTGTGCATAGTAGTCCACAACATCTGGAGAGGAAGAGGTGACTTATGCCTACCCTATATTTCTTTTCCAATCCTCTAATGAAAGAAGTGGCTGTTTCCTCCAACTTCGGACCTTTCATATTCATGCTGGGACCTTCCTACTGTTCTTTTATCAGGACCAGCCCTCCCAATTAACTCAAGTATAACACTGAGCTTTAATTATACTCTTCACTGCACTAATGCCAGTATGTCTTTATCTCTTTTATGTTCCCACCCACTGTGGCCAAAATCTGCTTGCTCTTAGTTGCATCTCTAATGATATAGAGGATTAGGCAGTCCTCACATTTTTGTAACTTACATGCCATAAATACAAAACACCATCACTATAAAATCGTGTGTGTTTCTTATGCAGCAGCATTTATCCACTAAGCACAGGAAATTCCAGCACTGTTTTACCTTTACCCAAGATTTCGCTCCCTACTGCTGTATATCTCTTTATTTCCTTCTCTTGTCTTGGGCTCTGTCTTGAGCTCTGAATGCATTTACAACCAGCACTTATTAATATTCCTTGCCAGTGAAATCAGCTTCTGTCCCATGAAGCAAGATGTGCTCCATTAGTTCATGTCTTAGCTGGCTTTTCTGCTCCACCCTCCTGAGCTAGAAGCTTTCTGTTTCCCATTCACTTCCATTAGATCCCACTAAGGAAGAATTGGATCATTGTGAGTTCAAATGTGAATTGAGCTGATCTGCATCAAGCCACGTGCAGATCAGAATGTCGCTTAAGTTCAAGTTTTGTACTTCCCTCAATAGTGTGATGCAGGTCTCAGCTTAAAGAGCTTCCCAAAATAGAAAAAATGGATTTAGAAATGTGTACTTTGAGATAAAATGTGTTTAGAAAGAAATGTTTTGTATGTAAGTGTGTTCGCCAAAGCATATTTATGTTGAAGTTCAAGTTTTCTTGTGGATGGATTTTTAAAAAGCAAATTAATTCTGAATTGGGATGGAGTGGTTTTATGAATGAATACAGATGAAACTGACATGGATTGGAAATCTATTGCTCCATCCATATCAGACTGTTGCTGGAGCTGAATGAGTTGGCAGGATTGATTGCAGTGGCTTCAGTTGGTTGGAGGCCATTCACATGACGGAGGGGTAACAGGTAGAAAACACTTATTCAGTCCCAAACATTTATGTTGCATTATGGTTGTGGCAGTATCCATTCTCATGCAATTTGATGGAAAAGAAATTGCTTTTAGACAATACAAAGAAGAACACTTCAATGCAATTCTTGTAGTTGTGGTATGTCATTTCAAGTATCCCACTTCACCCTTGCTTCAATTAAAACCCAGAAGACGCCACAATGAGATAACTCATCATACAAGTTTGTTTCAGGTTTTTTCCAGATCAAGAAGCAGAAGCCACCAGGGAGGTTACAAAATGATGGAGAGATGAATAGTAGAAAGAAGAAAGCACAGAGACATGGTACAGTCAACACAACAGCCACACTTAAGGATTGAGTATGAATTGAGTGTGTGTCATTGTTGAACTGTGGGTTCTTGCTGAAATATAGGTTACTGTACTATCTGAACCCAGCAGAAATAACAAACCATGATGAACAACCCAATGTTCACAGCCCAACAACAAACCATAGGTTTTTTTTTCATGGGTTGTTCATGGTTAATTGACCAAAGCTTGTTAGTGCAGCTGGGTTCAGAGAACACAATTACACATAGTTCAACAACAGCCCACAATTCAACAACAACTCACACTTCAGTGTTAGAATGCAGGTTATCATGTTGTCTGGACCCAATAGTTTTGGCCAAATACATGCCACCAAAAGAAATTCAAATTAAGTACCTTTAAAAGGTGGTGGAAAATAGAATCCACTTTTATAGTGGGAGAAAATGTTTGGTGAATAGGAGATAAGATTTTTATGCAAGTCTAGTGGAGTTTGTACGGTTCAGTACTTCAGGGACACTTTCTCCTTTTGCCAGAAAACCACGTGGATTGCACTTTTCAGTAGCAATCAGCAAACCTGACATAAACTAAACCTACTTCCGTGCGCACCAGTTCCAGGGCAATCTGTACCAGTTCACCCTGCTCCGTGTTGAGCCATCAGCAGGACTCAGTTGTAAAGCAAAACAGCAAGCTTGCTGTTTATGAACAGATGAGGTCCTGGCACATTAAACTGAAAACATGACCTTCGTTTTCATGGGAACAGATTGTTGTGTAACTCCAACCCTTTAAAAAAAATTATGTGCTTCACTGATTGCTGCTTATTTGCTCTGAGGGAGGGTGCAAGAAAGGGCATTTCTAAAGCCTCTTTCAAAAGCTGGATCTGTAGAGAAAGACCAAGAGACAGAGATAAGGATGGATAGCTTATAGTATGGTTTTTCAGCCAGTAGGCTGGGGTGTCCAAGAAGATGCTTCTCAAGTCCAGGAAGGGCCACAGCAGTGGCTTGTGCAAGCTGGTTTGTAAAACAAAAAGTATGAACAAACCAGGAAAACTGAGTGACAGAGAAAGAGGGAGGGACCAGGAGAAACAGCCACACTCTCCCCTCCCCTCTGCTCCGCTCCGCTCCCCTATTGTCTTTAATTTTTACCTTTAATGGGTATTCAGGGCTGCAATCAAAGGGAGAGCAATGCATTCTCAAAACTCCAAAGCCCTGCCTACACAATGACCAGCTCCACTCCTGACAGCCGTCTGTTGCACATGGACATCTGCAGAGCAAAAGCTGAGCTCCCCCATGCATAGGCTTTCCCACTGCAGAAGCCCACTGTTAACAAATGGGTTCTGGAGTGTGGGACATGGAAGCCATGCATTCTCCAGGGCAGAGTCGATGCCACTGCTTTACTTCCCAGTGGTTACTTGAAAGGGGGCACAAGTCCCATCAAACGTCAGCTGAAATGAACTGCTCAGAGCTCTTGAGTCAAACCCTTCCTCACGGGCTCTGCTGTCCACTTGTTTAATTGACTGATATCTCACTGGCTTTTAGGGTTGTCAAATCAGCAAAATCAGCAAAATGTAAGCTTTCCAAAGTCCCGTTGACACAAATGCAGAAATGATCGTTCTAATTCAAACAGAAATACAGTGCATCCCTCACCATGCTATGGAAAACCCTGAGCCTGTTTACCTGCTCCATCAACTGTTCAGGTACAAGCAGCTGATGGGCAGCAGTTCTTATGTTCTTTATCTTTCAATTGGAGTTGGATGGGGCAGCCCTTCAAATAAAGGGTGTCGTCGAAGAGTGGACTACCCTAAGCAAAAGAGGGTGTCGGCCCTCCCTAATGTTCTGTTGTAAGAGAGGTATCACCTGTGGAATGATTGCTCAGTAGGTCTGCAGTCTGGCCTGCTCAGTCACCATTGCCTCCAGCCATGTTACATGCAGCCAGCTCGGAACCCACCCGCTCTTGAATAATGAGATGCACACATCTGGTACACATCAAGACCTGCTGCAGCCCAAGTCTTGCTGTCAGCTGTGTCCTTGGATGACCGAACAAGAGGCCCTTGTGTGCGCTGCCTAATGCACAAGAAAATGGAAAGGTTAATGGGATCCAAACCATTCATTTGTTTTGGGCTGGCCTTGAGTGAAACAGCAGGTTTAGATCTAGGTTCTGTCATGAGAAGCAATCAGGTGTAACATGGCCTAAGTCATTTATACTGACAGTGGTTGAAACCATCCATGACGGTGCAGGACCAGTGCCAATTTATTCGCAAAGTCCAAACGCAATGAAATGAGAAACAGCAGGCAACTGGTGTGCTTGGACCTAAGGCATGGCGGGAAGCCCAAGAGGCTCCCCTGCCACAATGACACGCACGCTCTCTGCATCAAGCACACCTTGCTTGATTTTGCAGGGTTGAAAAAGAGAAGCACCTTCCAGAGGCCAAAGTCTGGGGTGGTGGAGACTGTGGATTTCTGCATGCCTGGAACAGATCATACCAGAATGGATTGTTCACCTTAATTTAACTGAGGACTTTTAAAAATGTTGCCCATTTGACTGCTTGGTTGAGTAGTCAAAGAAGTAAGACCTCATTTAGAAGCAATGCTTACCTGCACAAAATGATAGCACCCTTATTGATATACCATGCATCTTGGCATTATGCATAAAAGGCATATACCATATA